CTTGGAAAAAGGCACAATGATGACTGCTTGGCTTTCTGATATGAAGGTAGAGCATTTTCCAATGAGCCTCGTGGCTCTCATATGATACTATCAAATACTGCTCTGTGGTCAAGGTCTATTTGGCCAACCATTCAGGACAGCCTGGTCCTCAACCTCATAGAGTTCACAGTTTAGCAAGGAAGATAAAATGAAAAAAAAAATAACCACACAAATGAGTATTTAAAAACAATTATGATGAGCAACATGAAGGAGAGGTACAGGATGCAATGAAGATCTGTTACCACCCAAAGCTGGGAGGGGGCGTTGGGGGAGGTTGTCTGCCCACCGCAAGACATGTCAATAGTCAAGAGGCAAGATGGTAAGAAAGAAAGGACTTTTTATTACAGCTTGCTAGCAAGAGGGAAGATGGCTGACTAATGTCCTAAAAAAACCATCTTACAGAACAAAGACTACAGGCCAGTTATATATGGGACTGGTTGTCTTGACATGAGTGCAGCCATATTTGGCCGCTCCTTTGACCTACAGCCACCAGCACACAAAGAAATATAAAGCTGCTTTCTGTGTGGTGGGAACTGGCCTTTTTCCTGGGAACTGGCCTTTCTCCCATGGAGATAGTTGCAATTTGTAACATTTCAAGGTTCCTTGGGTGTCCTAGCTCGGGACAGACTGGCCATCTGTGTCAGGCTGGGACGATAACCGGGAAAAACAACGCACGTACACAACTGCTGGGCTGGGATGATAGCCAGGGGGTTCAGTGCACGTACGCCACTAATAACCATTTGTGCATGGGAACACTAAATGCTTGCTCTGCAAACTCTGTAACTGCTTAGTCTAGAAATTACTGATGCTATAAAAACTGCTGGAAACTGAGGCCTGGTGAGAGTTTCACCTGTGGAGGGGACACCTGGCCCAGGACTTCTGATGATGAGATTCCGGCCCAGCCGTGTCAATTGAAGGGACTTGACCCGGCAGTGGGGCATGGATGTTGTGAGTAACCGATCTGATGTGTTCTCTTTTCGGTCAACCTGGTGTTTCTCTTTCTGGTTGATTTGTGTCATTTCCCTTCAGTCAATTTGGTGTTTCCCTTTCCGATCCATCTGACGTTTTTCTCTCTCATTATATAACCTATTCAGATCTGCCGCTATCTCAGTCGATCTGGTGTTTCCCTTTCCGATCGAGCTGGTGTTTTTCCCTCTTATTATTTGACCTATTTGGATCTGTTTGCAGACTATCGCCTTTATTCTCCTCTATATGATAAAATATACCTTCAGTCCATTTGTTTGGAGTGGAAAGTTTCTTTTATGTCTCCAATCAAATCCCCTCAACCTCGCATAACACTGGTCTCCAGGTGGGGGAGGCAGCTGGTCTCCAGGTGGAAGCATCCGTCTGATCTCCAGGTGGGGGCACCCATCTGGTCTTAGTTCCTGATAGTCTTTTGTTTTACTGGATATCAGAGACCAGAGCAATGCTCTATGCCCAGATCTTTCAGTTGTCACTGATGATGGCTATCAGCATAGACTTTCTGCCTGGGAGTCATCACATTCCTAAGGAACTCAAAAGAACGAAGTTATAGTCACTGGGAGGGGCCATAAAATCCACAAAGCATGTCTGGGTTGGTTAGTCAGGGGTCATTCAAAGTTACAATATGGTTTCTTTTCTACAATATGGCTTACCTTATGTCAACCTTGTATTGAGTTGGTATCAGATCCATTAAGAGGTTCTAGTCCTAATCTAGTCTGCAGTGTTGGGAAAGGCTTCCCTGGGAAGGGACATTTAAACCGACAGCTGAAGTTTCCACAGTCACTAGCCAGGTTCAGGGGAGAGAAAATGTGCAAAAGAGCATTCCATGAAGGTAGAACAGCACAGGTGAGTGCACAGAGACAGACATGCACAGAGGGAAGATGACGTGAAGACACACAGAGAGAAGACAGCCATGTAACACCAAGGGTCATCAGCAAGCATTTGTACCAAAAATTCACTGGAAGGGCCTTTAATGAGCCACCAACCAATCTCCATCAGCTTCTCAAACCCTTCCCAAAATGAACATAGAATTTAAAAAAATAAAGAATTTTTGCAAACACTGTTTGTTTGTTTGTTTGCTGAAGAAGAGTCACCCTGAGTTAACATCTGTTGCCAATCATCCTCTATTTTGTATTTGAGCTGCCACCACAGCATGGCCACTCACAAATGGTGTAGGTCCACACCTGGGAACCAAACCTGGGCTGCTGAAGCGGAGCACGCCAAACTTAACCCCTAGGCCACCGGGGCTGGCCCTGCAAACACAGTTTTGAGATAAATTTCCAGTATCATTCTTCCAATCCTATTGTGTCCCCTAAAGCGCTATTATATTTTTGATCTGCCCCAAGAGGAAAGGTTTACATCGAAGAAATGCAAGCAAGTTCAAACTGAACCACAAGCATCACCTTTTAAAAAATGTTCTGTAGCCACTCCCCATCAGAGAAATTTCCGCTGACTCTTCATCCAGCCTCGACTTTCTTTGGCTGGTCTTTCTCTCTATACAGACCTTTTCTTTTCATCTATCTCCCTTCTTTCCTCTCTTAAGAAAGCAAATTCCTCTCCTAGTCCTGTGTAGGGCAGTTCAGCAATCCTCCTTTGTTGCTTTGGCTGATGCCCATATGCTCTCAGCTCCCATCTCCTAACCTCAAAGAACCCATAAGATATTTTTCTTAAAGACCATTCCAGTCCTTAAGAGGAACATACTTGCTGGCTATTAAAATAATAAGCTTTCACCTGGATCCCAGGTGTGTTTTTTCGGTTTCATTCCCTTTACAAACTGTAATGAAAAAAAGAAACATTCGTGTTTGCCCTAATCAAAGACCATCTAGTGTTGAAAGCCAGATTATAGAACACTTACTCACAGCTTGTCACACTTACACCACACTTGTCAACACTTGTAGCCACCATAAGTGACCCATTGTTTGATGATTCTTGTGTCACAAGAGCAGTTTGGGGGTTCCCTAACTTGGTGAGCCTTTGCTTATATCATCAAAAGCTTCCACCCTGGAAATAATATTGGTTTAGAAAATAGGTGAAATAATATGTGTTTCAGAGTCAAGTGCTAAGACATTTTAAGAATGGGCTTCTAAAATCCACCTGGGGTCTACTCTCACTTTTTTTATAGCTGATTTTTTCCCTACATTTTATTATAAAAATTTTCAAGCATAGTGAAAGGTTGACAAAATTTTGTAGTGAACACCCGTATATCCACCACCCATATTCCACCATTAACATCTTACTGTGATACGTGCTTTATCACATATTTGTCCATCTATTCATTCCTCTTTCCATCCATCAATCCATCTTATATTTTGGATGCATTTCAAAGAAAATTGTTCACATATATTGGTACACTTCCCACTAAACTCCTCAACACGCATATCATTAATGCAAGGTGAATTTGTGTTTACAGCTTTTTTCCTTTTGAGGCAAAATTTGCATATTATGAAATGCACAAATCTTAAGTGTACATTTGCTGAGTTTTGACAAATGTGTACATCTGTGTAACCCAGCACCTATCAAAATATACATCACTGTTACCCCAGGAAATTCTTTCAGCTCCCCTCTCTGTCAATGCCTGCCTTTTGTCCCCCGAGGGCAACCATAGTTTCTTTTTTTTTTTTTAAAGATTTTATTTATTTTATTTTTTCCCCCCAAAGCCCCAGTGGATAGTTGTGTGTCGTAGCTGCACATCCTTCTAGTTGCTGCATGTGGGACTCGGCCTCAGGATGAACGGAGAAGTGGTGCCTCGATGCGCACCCGGGATCCAAACCCGGGCCGCCAGCATCGCAGCGCGTGCACTTAACCACCAAGCCACAGGGCCGGCCCGCAACCATAGTTTCTAGTTGATGTTTATACCACCGTTTTATCAGGCAATTCCCTGGGCCCTACCTGTATCTCCATCATCCCTACTGGATAAGCCCATCCCATGAGATAAGAATGATAATAATTTTAAAGTTATAGAATAATGTTTGTAACCTTGTATGCAATAGTATCACTTCTATTTCATCTTTGAAAAATAATCCCAAATATGAAAAATAGTATACGCAAAAATATAGATATTTATAATAGTGTTATTTTTGCAGTAAAAAAGTGAAACCCTAAAAGTCTAACATAGTGACACAGAACAACTTGGAAGCTTTAGATAGGAAAAGCTTAGGATAATGTTTGTTACTATCAGTGCAAATAATCCATAGTCAATCTATAAGTCAAAATTGGGGTGAATATATTATGAGCCAAGTTCAAGGACTATAGCCCAGGGCACCAAAGAAGTGGGGTGTACAGACTGTCTTGGAACAAAGAGTTTACAACACATATGACAGGAATATCTCTTTTACTGCTGTCACGAGACACTTAGCTAGCACAGCAGGTCAGTGGTCAGCAGGTCAGTGGTCACAAGGTGAGCACAGCAGGTTGGTAATTAATCCTTAGTTCCCAGGAAGAAATGCTTATCTTTAAAGAAATGCTGATATGGGGGGAGTTATAGCCCTATCTATAAGGGCATCATTCTTGTCTTTGGGACATTGTAAATGTTTAAAGCAGATGTACAATGCATGCTTAACAGGCCTTTTTGGAAAAACAAGGTCAGGTGGAATTAGTTTTAAACCAAATGGCTTCCTCATAGACTCCAATATATACTATTGCTTTTCATTTATTTATCCGTTACATAGTTATTTCTTTTTTACCAAGGGTGTAACTTTTGTTTTTTACTAAGGTCACGGTAGTTTATAAAATCATGTAAATTTCAGGTATACATTATTGTATTTCAGCTTCTGTATAAACTGCATTGTATTCACCACCAATAGTCTACTTTCCATCCGGCACGGTACACGTGCCCCTCTACCCCTTTCACCCTCCCCCTACCCCCTTCCCCTCTGGTAACCACCAATCTGTTCTTGTCTGCGTGTTTGTTTATCTTCCATATGAGTGAAGCCATACGGTATCTGCCTTTCTCTGTCTGACTTATTTCTCTTAGCATGATGTCCTCAAGGTCCCTCCATGTTGTCGCAAATGGCACAATTTTGTCTTTTTTTTTATGGCTGAGTGGCGTAACTTTTATGTATATCTTTCAAATGTTTCTCCCGAGTCCCATTCCCAGTATCGGCATTATGGGATTTTACAGGAAAGGAAGAGTTGTGGTTGTAGGTACTTTGTTTTTCTGTTTTGTTTTTTGTCTTGCGCCCTTTTGAAACAGAGTATTTGAAGTAACCTGACCATCACACAGCCTCTGCCTAATCTTGTTTCCTAGCTCTGTGAGGTGAGTTATTTAGTACACCCTAAAATAAAAATTACCTTTATACACACACACACACACACACACACACACACACACGCACATAGGAAAACATCTCTCCCATCCTTTTCCTCCCTTCCCCTTAGCAAACCTCCACTGAGATCTCCAAAAATGACTGTTGTGAAGACAAAGTTAACAACTCAGAATTATGCCAGTGACAAATTATCAAGAAAGAAAAAAACAGAATAAAAAAAAAAGAAGTAAAAGACTAGAGGAAAAAAATATCCCAAAAGCTAGCAATGGTTATATAGGATCTAAAATTTTTTTCAAATTTCCAAAATGTCCATAATATACGTAATTTTATAAGAAACATAATTTTAAGAACAAATCTGTGAAAATGGAATCCCCCGGTTTCCAACGACCAGCTGGTTCAGACTTAATCTGATTTGGGGCAGGTGCAGCGGTTCTTGAAATGCCCGGCCTTTTGTTAGGGAAGGAAGGGATAGGCGGGGCAAGAAGGACGGTCCTCGTGGTGATTTCTCTGTCGCACAACCCAAGTCAAATAAATGCATTAAACGCCTCTTCCTCTCGGCTCCGTCCACAAAAAGGCAAAGAACGACGTGGTAGGGCGGACAGAACACCCCGAGCGCCGTTGCACGTGTCCTGGTGGGCCCGCCCAACAGAGGGCGCCCAGGACACTGCTAGCCGCCTCGCCCACCCAGGCCCCGCCCACACCTCCCCCGCCCCGCCCACGCCCCGCCCCGGCCCCGCCCGCCGCCGTCACGTGGTGGGGCGCCGGGTCCAGCCTGTTGCTGATGCTGCCGCGGGGTATTCGTCATGGAGCTGGCGCCGCGGAGCTCTCCGGTTCCTCTGCTGCTGCTGCTTCTGGGCCTGAGCACGGGTAGGTTTGGGTAAAATGTGAATCAGCGGGCCTCTTTCTGTCTCCAGGGATGAGAGTCTGTTAGTGAGTTTGTGCTTTTTAAAGCAAATCTCTTTGCCCCGGTTTGTATGTTGCGTAATTACATTGCATTTGAACCTCACTCGTTTTTAAAATTTTTTTTTTTTATTCAAAGTGCTTTTTCTGTCCTTTTCTGGCTCTGGGTGGTCTGGTGCTCCTTTCTTCCCTACGCCTAGAGAGAAGCAGTTGTGGGAAACATGTGATTTGGAGAAACTGCTGATCAATGAGGTTTCCACGATCGTAAGGCCACCTCCCTTTTCCTGCCGGGATTGGCTGTTAAATGGGATTATGAGGTCTTCTTATTTTCAGCTGAAGCTTGTGGTCCAAAAGACCCTGAGAAATCCTACCATGAATGGGACGTTTCACTGACATAAGGCCTTTCTCCCTCTCCTTGATCAGAAGAGACAAAGTAACATGCCCCCTCACCGCGATCCTTTTGGTAAAAACAAATTCGTGTTTAATAGGATGACTTGCAAGTTGATTTTTAGTCTTTTCTTTCAGCACAGTAGCTCCTGGTCTAAATCAAGAACTGAGAATTGGAACTGGCCGCAAACTTGTCTTGTGATCTTAGGCAAGTTGCTTAACAGTTCTTGTTTTCCCTTTTGTAAAGTGGGGATCATCTGGCCTTTCAGCTTGTGTCTGAAAAATGTTGTCAAATATGTTGACCCCCATATTTTAACAGTGGTCACTGCCAGGGAAAGGAGGAGTGCCAGAGGTTAGGTCAAAAGAGACCCAAGCCTTATCTGTCATTTTCAAGGAGACTATAATCTCGTGTTACTTGTAGATAATATTCTAGATGTTTATTTTGCTCCTCAAGCCACTATCTCGTTTTCTTAACCTCCATCCTTATCACTTACCAAACAGCATTGTCTCCTCATCTACTGCCGTCTCTTCTTCTAGAGACCAGTTTTTGTTCTTTTACTTGCCACAGGGGCTTGAAATTTAAGAAAGGAGGCGGTAGAAAGCAGAAAACTCCAGTCGCCAAGGGTCACCCCTCTTATCACCTTTTAACATCAGCCTTTTTTTACCCATAGAATGGTATTTGAGAAAAAAAGATACTGTAACTTGAAAGTTGTTACCTTAGCAAAGGTGACATAGAAAATGTATTTAACCTACTCTTTTCCGATACGTATTTTACAGATGCTAGAAAAGTTAACTAGGGAAAATTGGAGTTGTGGGATTAAAGGACACAGGTACATATATATATATATACACACACACACATATACACACATGGCTTTTGATATATTTTTTGCCAAATTGCCTTCCCCAAAAGTTATGCCACTGTGCACTCTTGCCACCAGTGCTGAGGGCCAGTCTCCTGTCTCCTGTGGACATGGAGCACCTGCCATCAGTTTTTGCCTATCAAATAAGCAAAGATTTTTTTTTAGTGACCTTATTATTGCTTTAATTTTCATATCTTTGAATATTAGTGATGTTAACCATTCTTTCACATATTTATGAGTCATTCATATTTCCTTTTTCATAAATTATTTCCTCACAGCCTTTACCCATTTAACTGTTAGGATCTTCCATTTTTTTTTAATTGATCTACATGAGTAAGGAAAATTACCCTTTTTCATATTTGTTGCAGATCTTTCTTTGTCATGTGCCTTTTATTTTTGACGTACAGAAATTTTATTGTACAGAAATGTAACAAGTTTCTGTCCTCAACTCTGTTGAGATTTGTCTTATAGTCCCTGGGGTATGCTTAAATCATTTATTTGCCCATCCAGAGGTCAGAAAAACATTCAACTGTATTTTCTTATGTTTTTTTAATATTTAAATTTTAAAATTGAAATACTTGGTTCACTTGGAATTTATTTTGGTTTATAGTGTTAAAAGAAGACTACATTTCTATTTTTTTCCTTCAAAAAAGTTAGCAGTTGTTCCAGAATAATATAGTGAAGAATGTTGGCCCCACTAATTTGTTATACCTCTTTAATCATATAGTAAATGAGATATAAAAGCCAGCATGCTGCATTTTGAGATTTTTCTTTTTCCAAAAATGTGCATCTCTGCCTTTTTTTAAAACAGAGTTATAAAAGTGTTTCATGCTCATTGTTAAAAAATCTAAACATTACGGAGAGTGTAGAGGAAAAAGTGCAAGTCCCCCGCCTCCTATGCTACTATTAAGAAATTTGTTTTTTCATAACCGAGGATTTTTTCCTTATCTCCACAATATATTGGAGTGAATAAATTGCCTAAAATATAAACCAAATCATCTCTAGCCTAGCATGGCCATCTCTCTTATGCTTGGAATTTACCTAGGTGTTAGACATTCTTCAGGAAAACCAAACTGTGCTTCTGTTTCAGGAGCTGTCATCGACTGGCCCGAAGAGGACGGCAAGGAAGTATGGGATTATGTGACTATCCGGAAGGATGCCCACATGTTCTGGTGGCTCTATTATGCCACCAGCCCCAGCAAGAACTTCTCAGAACTGCCCCTAGTCATGTGGCTTCAGGTAAAAGTGGCTTTGCTGCCTGGCCAGGGTCCAGGCCAGGTTTCTCCACTTATCACTTGGCTTACTCTGAGAGCTCACAGCTCAGGGGTGAAAGACTGATCTGGTCCAACAGTCAGCTGGGGGGTCTTCTAGGCTTGGGGACTCGGTGTCCTTCTGAGACAGGCAAAGGCAATGGTGTAGCCAAGAAGGCCAAATCAGAAGGTGGGGGGTTCTAGCCTTTTGCTGGGGTCTTTTTTTTTTCCCCCCCCCAAGCCCCAGTAGATAGTTGTATGTCACAGTTGCACATCCTTCTAGTTTCTGTATGTGGGATGCGGTCTCAGCATGGCTGAGGTGCGTCGGTGCACGCCCGGGATCCGAACCCCGGGCCGCCAGCAGCAGAGCACGCGCACTTAACAGCTAAGCCACGGGGCCAGCCCTGCCGGGGTCTTTTTATGCTGAGCCCAGGCAGTGGCAGGAACCCTTCCTGGAAGCTCCTGAAGACACCTTTGACTGTATGCTGATACAAAGTGTTTTGAAAGATTCCAAAGCAAAGACCAGTCTTTCTTCTCCTTCTCCCTCTCCTCTCAGTCCTCCCCTAGACCCTAACTTCTTGCCCTCAGAAAAGCTGACCCTTTGAAAGGTCTCAGCCTTTTGTTTCTTAGTGTTAGATGCTGGGCCATGTCCTTCTCCCTAAGTGTGTTTGCATTTTAATCTTGGGCTCTGATTGTAGGATGGAAGGCAGGGAACTGGATGAAAGGTATTTGGGGGCAGGGAGAGAATCCTTCCTTGCATTCCTAATCTAGCCAGAGGTGACCCACACCCACCTGGAAGACCAATCTCTAGGGAGGGGTTGAGGAACACAGTCTTGCTTCAGCCTTTGGAAAGTGTAGGCACAGCCCAGCTGGGGCTCCAGGTTGCTCACCAGTAAATAGGGCATCCTGGTTCTCACCTGCATGAGATGCAAATGTCACTTCCTCCAAAAATGTCAGTACTTTATTCATGAGCAGCCTCGCAGGCCAGGCCGTGCAGACTTTCTGGTGAGGTAGAGAGAAGGTGAGCAGGTTGCAAGGAGGGCCTTTATCTCTTAGGATTATCACAGTGTCTCCTTTGAGGGCTGGAGGTGAGGCTCAGCCTGAGGGTGCAGATGTGAAAATGCCTCAGAAGAAGAACCCGTATATGTGTGCCAGGGAACTTCTGTCCCTCCTGTGTGGCTGGGCATGAAGATGCAGCACGATTGTCAGGAGAGGCAAGCAGTGGACAAGCCTAGGTCGGCCAGACACGAGACCTGGGTTCTCCATGCCGTCCTGCCGCTTACAGCTATGGCAAGACACTTCCCTTTGGGCTTTGGTTTTCTGATCTGGGGAATTTCAGTGGTTTTCAAGTTTTTTATTAATCAGCAGAACTTTTTCCACCCCCAAGTGAAAGCTTATGGAGCCAAAGCAGCAGAAAGCAGAAGTGCTGAGGCTGGGGAGGGGGTAGGGTGCCGAATCCCACCTGCTCAGCCTCCCCTTTGTCACACGCTGCGCCTCAGGCACTCTCTGGGCTCTCAAGAACACAGTTTGTAAACCACTGACTCTCAGAAGCTGGAGACCTTCCTTTTGGTTGATTGCAGAATGGGGTGGTTGTTTTATTTGAATGAGTAGCCCACATTCTAAATTCAAGACATTTCCTTCCTTTTTCCAAAAATCAGGAGATGTAGCAACTTGGGACCTGAACTTACTGTCCCAAAGCTGAGTGGTGGTGTCCCCCTTTCAGACAGGGCCTGAGGAGGGGCTCCCGGAGGAGGGGATCCCTCTGCCCACGCCTGACATCTCTGTTCCATCTGGTGCACTTCCTGGTGCCTGGAGGCCATCCGTTTGTGACCTCTGATGAGGTTATGAAGGTTGTCAACTGACTAACTAACTAACCTGCTCTTCCTCTCTTCAGAGGCCCAAGGGAGAAGAAAAAGGATTACAATTAAGGAAGACATAATTAATTCTGATTAAAAGGAGGTCTGTTTTAGCAGCCTACCAAGGACACGTGCACTGACTGCTCTGGGCAGTTCTTTGAGAATTGAGGTCACATCATCTGAGTGGAGTAGTGAGTTATTTTAGGTACACTTTCAAGTCATTGAAGCATTTCAGTTGGTCCACTGACACATTTGCCATATTTCAAAGTCACTGGATAGCCCCGGGCCCTGACAGCACCCCATCCCAAAGTTCTAGTCAAAAGATTTTATAATAGGATGTTCTTGAAGGGGAGGAAGGCTATCCCCTACCCACTCTGGGTCCTTTCTGGCCAGGCTACAAATTAAATTGACATGAGACCAAATAGCAGGAGAAAATCAAACAAATTTATAACATGTATACATGGGAGAGACCCGGGGAAACTGAGTATCTCAACAAAATGGCGGAGGTTCTCTTCTTAAATAGATTTAGGTAAAGACAAAGGAGGATGTTGGGGGATGGGGGAGTCAGTTATGGGAGATTGCCAGAAAAGCATAGTAAGGGTGTTATGCAGCCTTGCCTTCCTCACTGATAAGTTTTTAGAGATAAGGTCATTCCCCCTTCTTCCCTGTACAGAGAGAGAGAGATACCTTTACAAATGGAGATTTCCCTTGTAAATGTAAATCTCTCTTACAGAGGATAACTTCTACTTTTACTTGGAATGGCCTTAGCAAGGACCCTCCCTGTCTATCCATGTCCAGAGTTAAATTCTTTTAGGCTTTTACTTGGTGGGGGTGGGGGGTGACGCGGGTCAGAGTTTCTTTCAGAGAAAAGAATCAAGGTAAAGAGACATATTTTGAGGCAGTGAATTCTGATCTCACACATTCTCATAGAGAACAGAGGCCCCCTCCAGCCAGCTTCTTGTTGCCATGGGGCAGGGGGTCATCTCCTGCTGCCACCATGGTTTATCAAAAGCAGAACTGGAAAATGGGGTTTCTCCCACAAAGACCAAGCCCCCTAGGATTCCCAGCTTCCCTCCTTTCACTTGGTCCTGTCCCAACCCAGTAAGTCCACTAGGAAAAAGGGACCCAGCTTTCATTCGAGGATGTACACTTGCCCTTAATTTATTACATATTGCATTATAAGCATTTTTCAGTGTGCCCACGTAGTTTTCACAGTTTGTGATTCTAAATGGCGGTGTCACGTTCTGTCCTGTAGACGTGTCATCATTTACTAACCTATTGGGGGTCGTTGGAGTTAAGTCTTTTTGCTGTTATAAATACCACTGTGATGAACAGCTCCCTCTGATTTGTGAGCTTTTTACTGCTACGTTAGGAAATCTTAAGATCAGAGTGCATACAATTAGAGGGATTTATAGCCTCTCAATTTTATAATAGTTAGCTTGGTTGAGGTCCAAAACATTAAATAGTTTCATGAAGTCTTTCCCTGTTGGGGTCCTCTCGTTATCCCTGAGCCCCGACTCTCTGTTGTCTTTTTTCTTTAGATTTCCCTGTACAGATTGCCTTGCTCTGTTTTGCCTGAGCCATTCCCTTCCATCTTTGTGGATCTCCCTCTGCTCTCCACCTTGCTCATGTGCAGGGAGGCAGCACCCTTTTATTCGAGGCCCCAGGCTGGTCCCCTTGCCTCAACTGATAATGCTCTCCTCGTAGCCTCCTTGGTTTAGCTGGCTCCCAGGATTTTGTCCAGAAAAGGACTGACCTTCCTTTCCCCTGAAGGGCCTCCTCCCCTCTCTTAGCATCAGAACCCCTAGAATGTCTGCCTCTCGCAGTCTGGGCCCCCCAGCCCCAGGCTTCGGTTCAGAATCCTGCCTGGCCCTGGATGCCCACAGGACTGAATGCTCCCTGGTCTGGGATGTCTGCATTTGCTACATTGTATCCTGGGGATTGACTTGACCAAACTGCCCCTCAGCCTGGGTCCCTGGTCAATCCTCAGGGACACTGGTGGGGTGGAGAGTCACAAAGTCCCAGGGACAGTCCTGGCAGAGCCCCTAATTGCCACGTCCCCTCCCTGGGCCTTACTGCTCTGAAATGAAAGGGGCCGGACAAGGTGTTCTAAGGTCAGCGAGCCCCATGGCAGGCCAAGGTTCAAGCTTGGAGAATCAGAGGTAGGGAAGTTCCCTCTGGGGGCTCTTAGCCCAGGTCGGTTCCTTTTAGAAAGACCTCAGCAATTACCAGGGGCTCACTTAGTGCAGACGCCTCAGTTCACTGAATCAGTTGTGTCTTTTGTGTGGGGCTGACCCAACCATCACTAAATCATAAATTGTTTATAGTGGATGTGGTCAGAGTTGTAATGATGACAAGTCAAATCTTGTAGTGATGAAGATTTGACTAAGGTTTTCTCTGGATTTATTTTTGTTTCTTTTCTCTTGCACAGGGTGGTCCAGGTGGTTCCAGCACTGGATTTGGAAACTTTGAGGAGATTGGGCCCCTTGACATTGATCTCAAACCACGAAGAACTTCCTGGGTACAGTGAGGATAGCCCCTAACTGAACTGCCTTGTGGCCTCTTCCAGGCTGAACTCCAGCCTGGCCTGCCCCATCCTGGGTGGGGTCACAAGTTTAGCAGCACCGTCCTGCCACCTCTGTCCTCCTCCCCCTGTGTACTGGGGCCTTTGGCCTAGGCTTCCTCTCTAGCCAGCTTCTCCCATTTCTCGGGACAGTTTATCCCACAAAGGTCTTTCTTGTCTTCCCCAACTCGGTGATTTTTCTCTCCACTTGCCTGCAGAAACCAGACCTTGTCATTTCCCACATATTGGCCATCTCTGCAGTGTGACTCCAGGGTCCCAGCCTCTAGCCACAACCTCTGATCCTGTCCTCTCTCTCCTACCTTGCTTCTTGACTTCATCAAGACTCCAAACCCCTTGTCCTCTGCCCTTTGATATCTCTCTAGTTCTCTGTCTCCACCCCTCCCCTCATTCTGAGCTTCACTTCCTTCCCTAACCCCTCTCTGGTCATTCCTCCACCCGCTGGCTCCCTTATCCTTCTCCCTTTACAGCCTCGCCATGCCCAACCTTGAGTCAGTCCCATTGTCCACCTGCTCAGCCCCACCCCCCAGGCTGCCAAATACTAGCAGGCAAAACCACACTTCATTTCTTTGGCCACCCATTCATACCCAGCTCACCATACTCACGTCTACGATTCTTTGATTTTCTTATCTGTCTCCACACTGGTCTTCCTTAAATGCATTTTACTCTTACCTCAGGGTCTTTGCACATGCTGTTCCCTTGGCCTGGAACATTCCTGTAGTTGCTTCCAACTGAAATATCACTTTCACTTGCAGTAGCAGAGTGCCCCACTGGCTTATCCCCAAGCTTCCCAGAACGAAGAGGGTAATATGACTGGGACAGAGAGCCTGAACTAGAAGTGAGGGGACTGGACCTCAGTCCTGATGCTACTATTACCGATCCAACTTTGTGACCTTGGACAAGTCCTGGGCCTTTTCTGGGCTTTAATTTCCTGATCAGTAAAGGACGTGGTTGGGGCTGGCCCGGTGGTGTAGTGGTTAAGTTCACGTGCTTCACTTTGGCGGCCCGGGATTCGCGGGTTCAGATCCCGGTCGAGGACTTACGCACCACTGCGGCAGTGTTCCATAAAAAGTAGAGGAAGATGGGCATGGATGTTAGTCCAGGGCAAACCTTCCTCACCAAAAAAAAAAGACATGGCTGGACTGTGTCATCACTAAGGCTTCCAGATGTAAAAGTCTATAACTCTAAGCCTCTTTGGAATAGGTTTTAGAATAAATTCTGTTCTTGTAGTGAAGCCAGGCCAGTGTGGAAATTGGATTCATCTTGGAGAAAACTGACATGTAGTATTCACCCCTTGTCTGTACTCGCACTGCTTCGAGCTGCTGCTCAGGCTGCGGCTGCCCGGTTCTACCTGCACTAATGTATCATGTGAAAAGTGACAGCTTAGGTGCTTTGATCCCCACATATATGTTAATCTTTCCTTCTTGCCCCTCCGTTTCTTTGTCTTTCTTTGCTGTGGTAGTCTATGTTCCTGTCTCTTATTTTTTTTTTAAATCCCTTTTAGCAACAGGAGCATAACCACGCTGATAGCCTCATATACGTGGTTTTTGTTGAGCTCATATAAGATGATCAAAAGATAATTGGTGGCTGGCTGGCTGATTGCAACATTTGATCTTCCTCTGTGGCGTGTAGCTCCAGTCGGCCAGTCTCCTATTTGTGGATAACCCTGTGGGCACTGGGTTCAGCTACGTGAACAAGAGTGACGCATATGCCAAGGACCTTGCCACTGTGGCGTCAGACATGATGGTTCTCCTGAAGACCTTCTTCAGTAGCCACAAAGAATTCCAGGTAAGTAAAGACTTAGGGACGGCTAAGCAAGGGGCTAGGAGTAGCAGCACTACATCCGTCAGAATAAACTTAAACTTCCCCAAGAGTTCAATGCTCAGCTGCTTCCAGAGAAAACCTTTTTGCACCCAAGATCAGGTTGTGGGCTTTTGTTTCTATCATCTGTACAGATAATTTTTAGCTTGAAAGAATGAGCCTGCAGCCAGTATTCTAAACAGGTATAATAATCAGATATGGTGGGAAAGACCAACAAAAGCAGATTTGTTTTGTCTGGCCATTACATGCAATAGAAATTTGAAATTAATTCATCTGAATTAAAAGGCATTCAGGATATGTAATTCTTTGTAAATTTCTTTCTTACTAGACGATTCCATTTTACATTTTTTCCGAGTCCTATGGAGGAAAAATGGCTGCTGGCATCAGTCTAGAACTTTATAAGGTAACAGGGGAGATGACTTTGTTCTTTTGGTTTCAGACAGAAACTGATTGTTACTTTTTATAGTTACCTGATATTGAATGTACTTGGAATAGGACTTTGTACATACAAAGTAAGAGTCTGTAATAATAACCACGAAAAGTTTCAAAAAGAACAGTGATGGATGCCCTACCAGGTATCAAACAAGCTATAAAGCTACAGTGAGTAAAACAGCATGGTACTGGCCTAGCAACAAATAGGTTAAATGCAACAGGATAAAGAATCTAGAAACAGATTTTATATATACATATATGTATGTATATGTATCTGTGTATGTATATAACACATACATATGTATCATACATATATATGATCATGTGTAAATGATAAGAGGGCATTTCAGATCCTTGGAGAACATATAGAATATTCAATAAATGGTATGGAGACAAATGGCTATCACTTTGGAAAACAGTGAAGTTGGATTCTTGCCTTGCATAAAACATCACTTCTAGGTAGATTAAAAATCTAAACATAAAAATCAAAACTAAGAGAACCTGAATATATAGGAGAAAAGTTTTATAATCTTGAGTAGGGAAAGCTTTTCTTCGTAAGAGGGAACACCCAAAAGCCAAAAAAGATAGGTGTGACATATTTAGACCACATACAAACTTAAAACTTCTTAGTTCCATAAGCAGTTTTAAAATATATATATATACACACACACATACAGAGACAAAAATATATAATAGAAAAAGTATTCATACCAGTAACTCCATAAAAAAAAGACAGTTTCCTAGTAGAAAATTGGCAAAGAATGTAGACAAGCAATTTATAGGAAAAATGCAAACAGCCTGTGGACATATGAAAAATGCTCAACTATTATTAGTAAGCCAAATCCATGAAATTTGCAGATATTTAAAAGATTGGTAACACCCAGTTTTGGTAAGAAGTCAGGGAAATAAGTGCACTCATGCACTTTTGGTGGGAATGGAAATTGGTAAATCATTTTAAAAGGGCAGTTGGGCAGTATCTATCAACTTTTAAAATGTATGTGCCAGGGCTGGCCCCGTGGCTTAGCGGTTAAGTGCGCGCACTCCAATGCTGGCGGCGGGGGTTCGGATCCCAGGTGCACACCGATGCACCGCTTCTCAGGCCGTGCTGAAGCCGTGTCCCACATACAGCAGCTAGAAGGATGTGCAACTATGACATACAACTATCTACTGGGGCTTTGGGGGAAAAGTAAATTAAAAAAAAAAAATGTTTTAAAATGTATGTGCCCTTTGACCCAATCATTTCACTTCCAGAATCTGTCCTATGGGAAGACTTATACATACGTGTGTGTCAGAGGATGTTTAGTACACCGTTGCTTATAATGTCCATAAACTGGAAACAAGCTCAATGGCTACCATAGAGGATTACTTAAATAGAATAGGTGTATCCTTCCATGATGGAATACTTTGTAGCCATCCATAAGGAATGGATAGATCCGCATATATATGTGTGTATATATGTGTGTATATGTGCTTGTGAGAGCGGAGAAAGCAGCTAGAAGGATACATAGCATGTTAACTGTGGTTAACTAGTGAGTGTGCAAATGGGGCAGAGGTAAAAGAGTTTTTTCACATTTTATCCTGTCTCCTTTTTTTAAAAAATTTTTACAGTGAGCTTGTTGAGTTTTATTTTTTTAAGATTTATTCTTTTAAAAAATGAACCTTTTATAAGAAGGTGTATATGTGCATAACTGAAAATTGGAAAATACAGCAAAGACAAATCAAAAAATTAAAATTTCTCCTTCCCACCAGATAGAGATCACCACTGTTAACACCGTAGTGTATAGCCTTTAAATCTCTTTCTGCACTTTTATAAACAATTTTTTTAACCAACATGGGATCATATTATACATAATGTCTACAGCCTGCTTGCTTCAATCACTAGTCCTCACCTTCCCATTTCAGCAAATTTTCATCTCAAATCTTCAGGCTTCTTTAATAATCCCAACGTGTCCTTATAGCTGGTTGGTCTGAGCCAATACTCAGTCCAGATCCATGAATTACATCTGGCTGTGATGTCCCTAAGGTCTGTTTTCATCTAGCACAGTTCCTTTTTTATGACCCTGATTTGGCAAAGAATCCAGACTACTTGTCTTGCAGAACGTCCCATTTTCTGGATTTGTCTGGTAACGTCTTCATGGTATTATTTAGTTTATTCCTCTCTTCACTGTGTTTCCTACAAAACTGGAAGTTATAGCTAAAGACCTGATGCATTCAAGGTAAAAGTTTTGGATTGACTATATTATAATAGGTCAGGTTTCAGGAAACTATGGCCGGGAGGTCAACTCCAGCCCACCAACTGTTTTTATACGGCCCACGAGCTAAGAATGGTTTTCACATTCTCAGGTGGTGGGGGTGGGGAGGATTAAAAGAAGAACATTTCATGACACATGAAAATTATATGAAACTCAAATTTCAATGTCCACAAATTGAGTTTTGTTAGAATTCTCATTTGTTTTATATTGCCTGTCGCTGCTTTAGCGACACAATGGCTGAGTTGAGTAATTGCAACATAGACTGATCTACAAAGCCTAAAATAGTTAACATCTGGCCCTTTAGGGGAAAAATTGCCAACCTCTGATATTGGTGACGTTGCACACTTCATTTTGCTACAAATCATAAGACACATAATGTCTAGATTAGTCTGATCCTTCATTGAACTCTCACACCCTCCCCTGGACAGAAAGGTATCTGAGTGGTGTTATTTTCACACTATATGGATGTCCAGTTCTTAATCCATCTTTCACCTCATGGTTTTAACCTCAATTTTTAGTTCTCACATATGTCAGTAATTTCATTAGGAGTTTCAAAATGATAGTTTTCCACTCCTGTCATTTTGTTCACATCTATTAGTTCATAATTCTTCTATAAAGTGGAACTTTCTTTCATTATCTGGGGCTATTTAGGTAACTTGAAATAAGTTCCTTCAGGAAAAGCCAGATAAATGCATAATTCCTTCTGTTTAATTACCAACGTTTAGGGGGCCAGCCCAGTGGCGTAGTGGTTAAGTTCACGGGCTCTGCTTCAGCAGCCTGGGGTTCACAGGTTCAGATCCCGGGCACAGACCTACACACTGCTCATCAAGCCATTCTGTGGCGGTGTCCCACATACCAAAAAAAAAAAAGTAGAAAGGAAGATTGGCACAGATGTTGGCTCAGGGACAATCTTCCTCACCAAAAAAAAAAAAAAAAGAAAAAAAAATTACCCATGTTCAGTCAGGATATTCACTGTTTTCTTATTTTAGATCTCTGAATAGCTTGTGCATTCACATAATTCAGAGTTCAAAAAATGTAAAAGGTATACTGTAACAATTGTCCCTCTTGCCTCTGTCCCCCTCCCCTAAGATAACCTCTGATACTAGTTTCTTCTCTATCTTTCTAGAGGTATTTCATACCTATAAAAGCTAATTCATATATATTCTTTTTTCCTATTTTTATACAAATGATAGTATACACTACACTATATACACTATACTATATATATTACTATATATATATCTATACCTACATACACTCATGTGCCGCATAACGACATTTTAGTCAGTGACGGACCACATGTAAGACTGTGGTCCCCTAAAATTAGTACCCTATAACCTAGGTGTGTAGGAGGCTATACCATCTAGGTTCGTGTAAGTACACTCTATGATGTTTGCACAATGACGAGATCGCCTAATGACGCATTTCTCGGAACATATCCCTGTCATTCAGTAACACACGACTGTGTATTCTATATATCTCTTTGTCTTAAATTTAACAAATTAAAAATAAATAGTATTTTATACAAATGATAGTATACACTACACTATACTATACACTATACCTTATATACTACTATATATATATTTTATATATTTCTCTTTTTTAATGTAACAATATACCTTGGAGATCTTTTCATATCAGTCCATAAAGAGCCTTCTCATTCTTTTTTTAAGTTGCATCATGTACCGTGGAAATAACCATAATTCATTTAGCCCATCCTATTGATAAATATTTAGGTTATTTCCAGTTTTCTGCTCCTGGACAGATGTATTACTTTTTTTTTTTTTTTT